AATTTTCCCGGTCTGTCTCTCAACGGCACCGGTATCTCAAATGTGATGTCTCTATCCGTACGCTTAAGGTTATCAAATTGATGCCAATTGGGAGGCAATGGTCTGATGTCTGTGTAATCCAATTCCAGAGGAAAGCCATAAATGTTAAGATATGGGGAAAAGTTAAGGTATTTGTATTTATTGAGTGGTTTTACGCCTTTTGCCACACAATAAGAGTTCCAATAATTCCACGTCTCTTCTGAGGCCTCGTTCACTGCCGACCGAAACGCCTGCCACTCAGCCATCGGTCCGGACGCTGGCAAACCTATTTTGATAAGCATGGTTAATTAATGCCTACTCATTAATTGCACTAAAGTAAATCACAAACCTGAACACCCGGGTGGAGTTAACTTATCATCATCGAGAAACACCAGCGGATTAGGGCTACACCACCAAACCCAGGGTATACCTGCCGTGTCGATGGCCGGCACTGTTATAAATTGATCCGTGAAGATAATGTCGGGCTTTAGTCGCTCCAAAAGACCCTCANAACTTATCATCATCGAGAAACACCAGCGGATTAGGGCTACACCACCAAACCCAGGGTATACCTGCCGTGTCGATGGCCGGCACTGTTATAAATTGATCCGTGAAGATAATGTCGGGCTTTAGTCGCTCCAAAAGACCCTCAATCAGTGGGTTAAGCCTTTCTATATCGTTCATTTCAGTTTTATACAAATTTTTACGCACATTAATCAGCCTGGTCAACGGTGGCAGCCCAGTGAACGTGCCAGTCTGTTTCATTAAATTAGCCCAGTATAGCGCCGGGTCGTTATTAGCGTTCGAATCTATTTGCTTTGGTGTTGTTGTGGTGTCTGCGAGCGATGAAGTGTTTGTTTCCTCCAACAGCACTTCTTCTATGCCATACTTTGTGAGTTTTCCCAACCATTTGTCACTAATGATAAACACACAGCGATGTCCGGCGCCGAGCAGTACCTGCGCTATACCTGTGGCTGCGTTCACGTGACCGACGGCGTCGGTCGGGTAGAAGAGAACATTCAGCGCTCTTTTTGGTGGCATTTGTTTTCAAATATATGCACTTTTTCTACAAAATTGTGTTTATATTTATTACAATGCAGTTTTCATTTGCAAAATTTTTTACATGCAATTCTTTATATACAGTACAAAATCATTATCGATTATTGACTATCAGTTGTATCAAGGTCGTATTTAAGTCATTGAAACACTCAAATCTTCTCGTTGGAACATTTTACTATTACATACATTTAATATTACATAATTATTATATAAAAGTTTGAATAACTTTCAGGTATATTAATTATTAACTGGATTACTTATCTGGGTGTACATATTACACATAATAGTTAACTAAGATTGCTATATTGCAAAAATTATGCTAAATATATTTTAAAAAATAGTAAAATAGTTTTAATTTTATTAATATATCTTTTATAACTATCGTATAAGTGTTTACATTTACCTAACATTTAATATAATTGTTTATTGTAATTTGACAATCTTCTCAATAATTTCTGCTAATTTTGCGATACTGTTTTCCGATTGTATTCTTGCCGAATGTAATTCCTAATTAATTTTGCAATACATTTTTTGTATTCATTTATTTAATGAGTTCCAAACGTTTTTAATACGATTTATATAAAATTTTTTATCATTTTATCAAAATTAAAATAATTATATAGAAAATATTGATAGCATATTCACAAATGTAAATGGATTGTAAATTATATTAACAAATAACATTAACAAGAAATTAACAATTTTATAAAATTTAATGTATTTTATTAAAATAAAATTAATAAAAATAAACCTTTATGAAATAATTGTATGATAAAAAATCTCGGAAGCATGTTTTTTGACAATCTTCTCAATAATTTCTGCTAATTTTGCGATACTGTTTTCCGATTGTATTCTTGCCGAATGTAATTCCTAATTAATTTTGCAATACATTTTTTGTATTCATTTATTTAATGAGTTCCGGTTCAGGAACACAATGTGTTGAACTTTTATGGTATTTATTATTTTAATTAATATTACATATTGTTAGTTTAATTAAATGTATTAAAGCTCGCAGATGTTTTAAACAAAATATTTATTTATTACTTATATTAGAACTGATTTATACATTAAATATTAGTCATAGTTAATGAAAAACTGTGAGAATATAACGTGTTTTTAATCAAAATTCTTGTCCTGCAAGTAATTTTTAGTTTACAAATGATTTTTCATTATTTCAGATTTATTTTGTATTAAATTGCACATTTTTAATTAATTAATTTGTAAAATAAAAACTACCTTATGCACAAATTTTAAACAATAGCAAAAATAATTTGAGACATATTCCAGGATTTCCCTCAAAATAAGTTTGAATGTAACAGTATGTCTATCATTTCACTATTTCAAATCACTATCTGATATGATTAGTGTTTGGCAATTATTACATACATCAATTCATTTAATACTGTATAATTACTGTGACTTTAATTACTTAACATCTGTTCTAATAATATAGAAAATACTTTTAAAACGACATTTTATTTAACAATTAATTAAAAGATGATGGAAATTGTTTTTTTTGTATTTCTCTCGGCATTCGTCTCGTGCAATGATTGTAAGTATTGATTCAATCGGTAAAATATATAACTAATACTAACCGAATAGTGAGCACCAGTACCACCGGTATCGCAGGAATGAATGACAAAGCATACGGTAAGCCGATCACCGATTTTGGGGAAAGTTATAAAAGGTTAGCCGTTGTTAAGCCCGTCGTGACGGAAACGAACCGATTGCTGACCGCCATTGTTGGCCTCGAAAGTGTGGCCAAACAACTCGTCAGTCAATTCGTAGCTCATACGACCCGATTAGAGTGGGAATTGAGTCACATTGCTCCGGGTAATATGACAGTCACCCAAGTGACCATAATCATTGCTAATATGAGTGACATCGCGCTAAACATTGAACAACAATTACAACAGTTATTGAACCGGTCGGCGCATCTGTGCGCCAATAGTATGGACCAATTGAAATTCGCGCACAGACGGGTCGCTATAGCGGCCAAAGTATTTGCGTTCAGTTGTCTTGATTTTGCCCAATCCATATACTTCCTGAATAAGCCCACCACCTGTTTGTTTGCCTACAATTATCCGATGAAAGTATTTGAAACCAATCGGCAAAATGTGAGCCACAGCTTGAAGAGAGTGGAAGACATGTTCATAAACGACACCCGAGGGAAGGGATTAGATGATGACATAACTGGTCCGTCTATTAGCAGACATTAATTTGCAATTCTAAGTGTATTTCTTTGTTTACTGTATTTATAATTTAAATAATGATTTAAATTTTATTAAAATAAATTATTACTTATATTAGAACTGTTTTATAATTAAATATTGACTTTGGTTTCAATGCCAATAATTACAGATTTAGCACATTTTAGAAAAGTACTTTTAATTAAAATTAAGTTTGCGGATTTCGGGTAAAATTAAACCTCAGTATAATATGAAATAATATGAACTAAACATAACTTTGTTTCAATTAATGTAAACTATTGATTCAATATATTCCAATGCAATTTTGAGGAACTAAAGGGTAGAGAAGTGTTGGGAATTATTTTGTATTGATTTTTGTGTAGAAATCTCTCGAGAATAGACTATTCGGGGTTTGGATAGTATTGTTGGAAGTGATGGATGGCATCGATCGCTTTACCAGAATAAGCTGAATTTTTTTAATAAATAAAATAACGACACTATTACGAGGTTTTATTGAATTACTTTTAATGATTTGATTTTTTAATAGATAAGAGTTTTTTTGCATTGAGTTCGACGATGATTTTATGTTCAACTTTGACTCATATGCTGGCGACCAGTGATTAACAATGCATTTAATGAATAACACTAATCCTTTACTCATTGTGTTCAGTGAAGTGTGAAACACTGGTCGCCAGTATTGCACGTGTATGAGTCAAGGTTAAAACATAAAATCATCGCCAGACTCAATGCAAAAACCGTTATCAATTAAAAAATCAAATCATTAAAAGTAATTCAATAAAACCTCGTAATAGTGTCGTTATTTTATTTATTAAAAAAGTTCAGCTTATTCTGATAAATCGATATTTCTACAACTCATCCCTTCTATGCATTAATCCCAATGTTTCCCAACGAGTAATCTTTGGCCCAACTCTTCCTATTTGAACAGCCGGTGCTCGAGTCTAACAGTTTCGGCAATCATTGCATTCAAAAAAGCAAGTTTTGTCAACATTTTGTCATAACAAACTCGAAAATGTCAAATGAAAATGTAAACCACAAAAATGGTTGTTACATAATATGTAAACCTCGATTACTAAAGATTGACACCAAAATATTAGACATTATAAGACATTATTTACTGTGAGACCCAATGTATGGGATAACCGCATATGATGTCATTGACATGTGGAGACACATTGTCTGTATTTTGTATAAATGTGATAAACAAACAATACCTGTGATACTAATCTGGTCAGTATCTTCATTATTTGAGTGACTTTTGGTGACAATAAGTGATTAAACTTTAAATATGTCTATTATTTGAAACCTTTATTACAATGATTTTCACTAAATTATAGTTATTTCATTAGTTATATTGAATATCATTTGTGCAACAATTGAATCAATCAATTATTTTAAGTCATTTTTAGATTTAATTTTAAATTATATTTTTTATATTGATTTCTATGTAAAACAGCTTTTGTTAATAGAGATTCAAATAAAGTTTAATTTGATTTCATTTGAAGTTATTAATTTAATAAAATGTGTGATACCGAAAATGTTAACCCAAATATTCAACCACGTCGAGGACGTGGTGTAAGAGTTACATATGAAGAGAAAGTGTTAATTAATAGTATTAATAATCAATTAATTAATGAAGGCCGTAGTTATCCGAAAAGAGTGACATATTTATCAGGCGGTTTCTTAACTAGTGAATCTTCAATTAAGAGATTTATATAACCGTAAGTAAATTATTTATGAAAATAAATGCCCAAAAAATATTTGAAATCATCGATGAATTAAACAATTATTACGGTAAATATAAACTAATAAAAAAAATTAAAATTTTTATAGCGGCGGATGTCGTCCACCAAAATCCACATGGATTAAGAAGAAACAGTTTACGTTAAAACAATGTGATATAAAAAAATTAATAAAATAATTATTGATAATTATAAACAAAAAAGATTGCTTACAATAAAAGCGTTATATATTTATGTAAAAGAAAACAAAGATGACATAAATTTTAAAGATTGTAAGTTTTCAACATTTCGAAAAATCATTAAATTAATGGGTAAGTTTAATTATAATTAGTAAAATTAGTTGCAGGTATTCAGATAGAACTTTTGATTGTAGCGCTTTTGGACTGAATTGAAATCCATTCTTATATAATTATTGTTTTTATCCAATTTAGGCTATAAAAATCGAGTTACAAAAAAATATATACGATTGTTAAAAATATCAACTAATTATATTAAATGCAAACGAATTGCTTATTTAAAATATAAACGAGAATTAGAGAAAAAACGCTATCCTTTTATCTATCTCGATGAATGTCATCTGGATGGTAATATAGTTCCCAATAAACTATTAACACCAATTCACATTGATGATGGTGACGATGATGATGATAATTTTAAACTAAATATTCCTATTGATAAGTTAAGAACTTATAATCCTATTATATGTTATGATTAAGGCTAGAAATGATATTTTTAATGTATATTTCAACATGATTCATTTATGAGATTTTACATTAAAAGTATTAGATTAAGGTGCAAAACATACAAAATTACACTTTAATATACATTTTTAAAACGGGGAAAGTCGTATAGTTTGCTACACGTCGGCGGAAAAAAGGTTTTGTGGACAAATCATGTCTCAAAATTCTTTGTAACGAAACATTCACCACAGAAAAGTTTGAATTATGGTTAACAACACAATTACTGCCAAAACTAACAAAACCTACAGTCATTGTTTATGACAATGCGGCTATTCATGGCCGTCTAACTGAAA